GCCCCGCGTCCTTCCTCTCCCCCCCCGCCATGTCAGGCTGTTCGACGCTGCTTTCAGCCCCCCCCACTCCCCTGCCTTCAACCCTCACCCCACCCCCCAAGCCCCATCCCTTTTCTCCAGTTTTTTCTCTCCTTGGTCCTGAGTTTGTCCCTGGTTATAATGGTGCAGATTACAGGAGGCAGAGAGACACCGCACCTCGGCCGAGGAGGGAACCAGACGCTTCAAGATGGACTTTGCCAATAAGGCTGACAGCCTGCAGCGGCAGATCGAGCAGAGGGAAAGACAACTGTAAGACAACGCCTGCAATCAGTCTGACACAAGCATACAAGCTTTGTGAAATGCCCATGTCTAAGACTGGAGCTTTTTATGAGGCCCACATTTATCATATACTCACGGCTGCCCACAGTATTGTTTGTTTTGTGTGCAGTTCCGACATGTGTGAAAATGTTGGCATTGTGTTTGCAGTCAGCAGCTGGACACGGACTTAAAGATCGAGAGGGAGTGGAGACAAACGTTACAAAATGATCTGGACAGAGAGAGAGACACCGTGGCTCAGCTCAGCAGTCAAGCTATGGAGATCAAAGGACTGAAAAAAGTAAGGAAATCAAAGAAGAAAATAATCTAGGGATACTAGTGTGACATTCAGAGCTTTACATGGGATTTCTTTTTTTCCCAGGAGTTTTATCGTCTCCAGGATGAAAACTTCCAACTGAAGAACATCTGTGAAGACCAGGAGCAGGCGCTGGAGGAACTCGGCTCTAAACTCAGCGAGTATGTGGTCGGTGGTCAATGATATGTTGGATATTGGCTTTATGTCAAAAGTACTTTAGGTCTGTTGGGAAAAAGTAAATTCACGTTGTAACCTATTGGATGAATAATGATTTTGTAATTAAAAAAAAGGTCCAAATGTATTTCTATCTGTAAATCTCCAGAGATGACATGCTCAAATATCTGCTGTGACAAGAGGTGCCAAGTATGTGGTTTCTCTGGCGCTCGAACCCATGACTTTCTGCGTGGATGGCAGCTGTAATAAACAGGCATGATAACCGTATGGTCAACTCTATTTCCCTTCTTTTTGTCCTCAGGTCCAAACTAAAGATCGAGGACATTAAAGAGGCCAACAAAGCACTCCAGGTAAAAAAAAAATGAAAAGAAAATCCTCATCTTAGGTTAGATAAGGTACAAAAAACTGTCCTTATTTTTTAGTAAGCACTGACTGATAAGCCCTTCATGTTAATAATGAAGTCTGAAGACATATGACTCTATATGTGCTTGTTTAAGGGAGGACAGGTCTGGCTGAAGGACAAAGAAGCCAGTCAGTGCAAACTGTGTGAAAAGGAATTCTCCATATCCAGGAGAAAGGTCAGTTCTATATATTTGACTTACCCTAACATCTACCCTGATAATAAAAAAGAAAAAAAACCCATAATTAAACAGAAATCAATAGCTAGAATTAAAAAAACTAAGAAAGGTAATCCTTTGCTCACATTAAAAAAATTTACTTTTTGGTACGCCAACTTTTGAGCACCAATCTCCGAAAAAAAAAGTTTCTCAAAAATGACTAAAAATGCACTCATTTGGCTTAAAATACTTAGCTATGTCCATTTCTGTTGTTAAAATTGAGAAAAAATATACTTTTTAGGTACGCCATCTTTTGATCACAGTAAAATCCTATACCAATAAGATCCTGAACCAATCTCCGAAAAAAAAAGTTTCTCAAAAATGACTAAAAATGCACTCATTTGGCTTAAAATACTTAGCTATGTCCATTTCTGTTGTTAAAATTGAGAAAAAATATACTTTTTAGGTACGCCATCTTTTGATCACAGTAAAATCCTATACCAATAAGATCCTGAACCAATCTCCGAAAAAAAAAGTTTCTCAAAAATGACTAAAAATGCACTAATTTGGCTTAAAATACTTAGCTATGTCCATTTCTGTTGTTAAAATTGAGAAAAAATATACTTTTTAGGTACGCCATCTTTTGATCACAGTAAAATCCTATACCAATAAGATCCTGAACCAATCTCCGAAAAAAAAAGTTTCTCA